GTCACACAAGATTTCCAAGGATTTAAAATGTGTCCAGTGCAATATGCTGCAACTATAATTTCAATTATAAATCAAGTTGCAAAAAGCATCTCTTAATACACAAGAGTTCCAAGGACTTAAAGTGTGTCCAGTGTGACTATGCAACTAATAAATACATTTTAAAAAATCATATGTTAATACAACCAAGAATTCCAGGTTTGTGCAATGTGCATTGTGTGATTTTACAATCAATTATAAATACAGTTTCAAAACCCACTTGTTGTTGAAGCAGAAAACTGACAGAGATACAAAACGAAACATAAAATGTGCCTATAGTATAATTCTGCACTTGTGCGCACATGACTAGAAAATACGCCTAGCCAATGTAATTTTGTAACCAATATTAAGAAACACTTTAGAGCACATCTATTACACATGACACTTCCGAGGATTGCCACCAAAGTTATTTATCCATCATTATTACACACTAATTGAGTAATTGCAATGGCACTTCTAATTCAAGTATGAAGCGTATGCCATTTTCAAACTTGGCCGTGATTCTTGTGACGTCATAGGGATAAAAACGTCATCTGCGCGGATTTGCGTTTAGTTATAGCCTATAGGCATACCTTGTCTTGTAAATGGTACCTACTTAACTTGAACTTCCAAAGGCGACTCGACAGCAACTCATTTTTGATCGCCCGTTATTTCTTATGGCAATTATTCCATGGCTGATTGTGATTTAAACCAAATTCATTCGTTTATTGTCTCGCATGGACGCTATCAACACGACCATGGAATTGTTGCCATAAAAAATACATCGTAAACTTCGAGGCAAAAATGCAAGGTGATTTACCAAATGAAATACTATAAGTGTTTAGTATCATTGATTTTGTAATTTTTGTCTGTATCGAGTGACGTAGAAATCGAATATGGTTTCCATAAGAAATAAGAAAGTTGATGTGAATTACTCAAAACGCACACGTAATAAAAATTATTTTAGCACCACCAGAAAACTGAAAAGAATTACTGGGTTTGTTAATAGTTATTTACATTATTAGTGCGGGAACAGTTATTTTGCAGATGAGCGCGAAGTTTGTCGGCGCGAGTGCGCAACGCGCACGAGCGACGCATGTCGCGCGAATCAAGCAAACACTGTTCACGCACGTAAAATGTGTTCTATTTTTTGCACGGATTAGTTAAATCGAATTTATATAAATTCAAATCCTTTTCGCGAGATTTTTGCGACACAATTCTTTTGAAAAAATCAAGTCCTCTATGCCGATAAAGTAGAAATCTAGAAATTTAAAATGTCAATTTAATGTTCAAAACTTCTGGTTTAAGCTTATTTTTGCCCCTGTACTACAGGGAATGATGTAAAGTGTATTTATATTTTCTTTTTTACTCTTCCATCATACTACTTATTAGTTTATGATCCGCACTAAATAGATAATTTCGTTGAATTTTTAGGCACTAGTGCGCGAAAGTAGATAGTCAATTGTAAAATTGACGTTCCCGACGTTCGTGTTTGATTGGGAAAACGCGATTTAGAACGAAGGAGTGCAAAATAGTATATTGAAAGACAAGTGTTACAATGCGACCTATTGTAATACGACTATCTTGTGGCACGAGTGGCGACGCGAAGCGTAGCCACGAGTGTCCGCAAGATAGAAGTATTACAATAAAGCATTGTAACACGCGTTTTTCATACTATTTTTTCTATTTCGGTGCTTTAATTTAATTAAAAAAATCATTATCAGAAACTATAGGGAACATTAGAACTAACATGTTTTATGTTGGGAACACTTTTTATGCCGTTAAGTTTTAGGTTGGCAGCGTAGTAAGACTGACATTTTGAAGTTCAAACATGGAAGTACCCAACGAAGTACCTACTTGTACTAACTAGTAACTGCCAACTTAAGAGATGAGTTACCAAAAAAAAACGACTATAATCACTGTCTTTGTACAACTGTTTTCGAAAACAGTTGTACAAAATCATCATTGTGACACCGAAATAGAAAATAGTATATTACGTAACGAGTGTTGAAAGCGATACTTTTCACACGAGTGTGAAAAGTGGCTTTCAAACGAGTCATGTACACTATTTTTCCTACGACTCTCCATACAACCAAAATACTTACATAATGAAACAAAAGTTATTTTATTTCGAACCAACTACTAAAACTATCTAAAAATACGAAATAGATTCAATTTCTCTTTAACGAACTATTGTTATAATTACTTTAGCAAAGACTAAAGAGGTACTTGTGGTTTGGAGCTTCTGCAAGAAATTTACTAATATTATTAGACGTACGCTACTTTTTATACCTCAGCCGTAATTTAGTTGGTAGTAATTCGAGTGTAGTGGATTTTGCCTCTTCTCTGATGTTGGGTGGAGTACACTCTACATCCATGGAAGAATCACTTTTCGCCATTAAAAATAAGTAAGGAATTAAATGTGTAGCACAAGGGAATAAACTCAAGAATAAACTAATCGCAATTTTAGAGTTTGACGTACGCCTACTACGTTGATGTTACAAGAAGATTAGACTACTACGAAAGCAAAACGTAACATGCGATTTGCTTTCTACTACATGGTAAATCTTATGAGAAAGCAAATCACACGGGTGCGTTTTGTTTTCCGTTACATTTTGCCATAAGTGAGCGAAATTGTCAATTTTCAAGTAAACATAATTGTACGACATATGTCATTTTCAATGAAAGTCGTAGGAAAAACTATTTTTTGATATCTGTGAAAATAAACGGACGCCAGCGCATTTTCGAAAATGACATTTTTGCGCGATCGGTCATTTCTGACTATTTACCATGGGTGTTTCCATGACAGTACATACAATTTACCAGTTGCTATGATTACGACGACGCCAAAATTACTTACCGATCTAAAAACAGAACAGCAAAAATACGAAAAATACTTACCGACGCCTTTTTAAAATCAACAGTCTTGCTTTACATTTAATCTTTAATTATTGTTAGGTACATTAAACGTGCAATTTGTGCTGTTGTTTCCTATAGCAAGACGCTCATAAAGTCATAAAGGAAGTGCCAAGCTAGTAAACTACATCAGACACATGCACATTTTTATGAAATTATTAATTTCAATTTTGACAAATAAACTGGTTACCTAGTGATGTACATCATACCACTTCGATCATTTCGATTTATTGCGCTCGTTAATCTTAGTGCATATTTATATTGGTTGCATAATTTTAATTTCGATCGCGCAAAAAATGTTATAAGCACGTCGAACGTTAAGGGTTACCGTTCTCAGACAATAATTGGAGTCGTCGCTTCGCTCCTCCTCCAAACAATTGTCTTCGAACGGTAAAAATCCCTTACCGTTCTCCATACTTAATATACTATTTTCGGTTTTTTGGCCACAACTTCGTTAATTTGTAGAGCTACAAGAAACGTTGAATGGGAAGATTAATCAGCATAAAATTCTGCAATTCTTCATCCATTTAAACGACTTTGTATTTCCTTTGTATTTACTCTATGGTATTTCTTACAGTTTAAGAGATCCCCATAGTGAAAATGAAAAAAAAACTCACCCTGTATAAACGCAATGATGTAGGTATTCTTGCTTCGGGTGATATGGTCTTTTCACCTATACAGGGTGGTGACTTGCGTAACGCATCATAGGGATTTCAATGTAAAATTCATAACATGTGATTATTGGCCCCCCAAATTATTTCACCACCCTGTATATACGTAGGTGATTATCATTATTATATTTCCATACGTGTCCAAAATCATGAAATGGAAGCTTATTTAACAGTATAGTCAAAAATCTAGCTGCATAAAAACGCTAGTCAAAATGGACCCCTTGCTCCTGGACTATTAAGTAACCTAGTTTGCTGGACTGCGCGACACCTGACACTGAGTACCACTACCAATACATAAAATAAAGTATCTTCGAGTATACATTGAAAGACTTTATAGATGTGTATCTTATACAAAGCTAGAAATTATATAAGAAAAGCGAATGTTAAAATGCAGCCAGTGTCGCAAATCAATTGAAACGAGTTTTCTACATTACTGATTGTTGTTTTTGTAAACAATTACGCGTTAATTACTTAACCATTTGTTTGTTTTGCCACATAAGAATGATGACATATCCGGAATTGGTGTCTGTATTTCTTTTGTTATGCAGAATATTTGAAGTATATGTAAATTATGTCCATACAATACAAAAAGTTAAGTAAAAGAACCTTATAAACGAAAACTGACTTTCGAAATGTTGTCAAATGGGATCTAACCCCCGACGCACGCATTAGATTTCAACACTAAACAAAAGTAGAACGAAGTTTAGTAAGTTTTTTCTAACATTCTTGATTGTTTTTAAGGTCTAGTTTTAGCGTTGAATAAAAACTGAGTAGGTAATAAGTTTGATAGGCATTTACATAGAAATCTCGTGCGCGGAGGTTATTTCATTTGATATTTGGAAAGTCTCGATTATCAATATTCAAATGATAACTTCCGGATTAAATTTGGTCTCTCACTTTTTGCCTATAGTGTGATCCTGTAGAGTGTAGAGTAATAATATGAGGTTAACAAACTTTATGAATGTGTAAAAGTCAGGATATCCGCCGATATGTAATGAAATTGGCTATTACAGTAATGTAGACAAGTAAGTAGCAAGGTTGACAAACTCGCAAACATTAACTTGACAGGTCATCGGGTTTGACGACGATTGCTTTGCTAATCAGAAGAGTGTAAAACTTGCATCGAACCAGTTCAGTTGGAAATAAACTCTCTTCCCCAAATGCCTACATTTTATACCAAATAATCCCAACCCCACAATCCTAGAAAAAATCAAATTAAGGGGCAACGACAATAGCAAAATTAAAGACAGATGTACCTCGTCCCTGAAGTCAACATAACATAAAATTTCGTAATAGTAAGACCTCGAGTAAGACAGTAGAACTAGAATATACCATAGCTGATAGTATATTAATATTCAAATATAAATGTCAAAAAAGGGAAAGTAAACTGGAACTTACTTTCAGCACTCCTCGACTGGAGTTGTGGTGCGGCTGTGGTTGTGGGACGAGTAGTTGGTTTAGGTCTCACCACATCCTGGACAGGACAGCATACTATCGGTTGAATGCCCAAAAAACCACACAGCTGGGGGTAGATGTTGCGACGTAGTTGTTGTATAGCGTATGCGCAATCCCCTATGACCATACAGCGGCCGATGCCTCTGGATGATTGCACTCGACAGCGCTCATCTGTAAAGGTTTTGGTTAAATATTTGTTCTGTATCCGCCTTCATCTTTAAAAACAAAATTGTGTTAGCAAACTATTACTTTTTATGTGAATGAAAATACCCCTCTTGTAGCACACGGTACCATTTTTATACATAAAATCCGCAGCATAAATTTGTTCCCCGAAGTAGGTAGGTACATCAATGGATAAAATAAATTCCTATGCTCATTTCGTAAAATCTAACTTTAATTATACCATACGTTTTTAACTTTAAGCAAACGTTAAACGAATTTATTTTCTATTTTTTGAAGGAAGGCACTCGGGATAGTGATGGAAAACAGCAACCTCACAAGAAGCAGATAAGGGAATTAGCAGTGGAGGAATAATCAGACAAGCAAAAGTAGCCAAGAGGAGGGGACAGAAAGTAACTCAGAGAGAGGACAACAATAAAAAGGACTGGAACACGGGGGGAAATTGGGAGAGGAACGAGACCAAAGAATAGGAACATCGGAAACTAATGAACGCCCGGAGAAGAAGCTACCACCAGAAAGCAGAGTTCTCTCTAAGGCAGATATTCCAGTGGCAGTGGCGAAGCTATGGCCGTGCCCGTTCGGGTCGTGCCTAATAAATTTGACAATTATAGCTTAAAAATGAAATCATTTTAAAAGCGATGAATTTTTGAAATGTTCTGCTTTTAGTTTTGTAAAGAAGCTTCAACGACAGATAAATTACAAAATGCCAAAATGCCATAGAGGAAGTGAAGATGCTTATGATGTGGTTTATATTTTTGAAAATGAGTTATTTTGTTAACACTTTACATGCACGATATCCTTCACGTCAAAAAGAGTCAAACAGTGTATCAAAGAAATTGTCCGCCTTCATTTTGTGGCGGTTAATTCGAATTTGTGCGAAGTATTTGAATTTTTTACTGTGATTGGCTGTCATTTTAAATATACAGGGTGTATTAATAATTATATACACGATACTTGTGACCGACGTTCTTGTGCGAGTGCCAATAGGACATTAACTGGTCGGCCATTTTGTTCTGATAAGACCAAATTGAATCGCGTGTGTCGGTAGGTTCATTTGAAATTCAATATACAGGGTGTAATGGTAATGGCACTCATCATTCCAGCCATTCAGTTCTGCTGCGAGCATTTTAACGCCGGTAAAATTTTAAATGTCACGTGGACGGTGAATTTTACTCGGAATGCTTCTGTTTGTAACATTATATCCCATCGACTGTAGGAGGAGGAGCGTAATCTGTTTTACAATACAACGATACCGTTAAATAATGCAGGAAGCAATATTCAGCAAATTGGACTACGATATGTGTTGTTGTCCGAGAATTTTGAAAATGTGATGATCAAAGTGTGTATTTCAATTACCTATGACTTATGAGACGTGCTTAAGAAACTAATGAAAGCATTAAGACAATATGAGCCCGTTGTAGTCGATATAAATCAAACCATAATTCGAAAACGATACGTGTGGATTTGAATCGAAAAATTCAAAACGTGGTGTTAAATTGTGTCTACGTTTGGATTCCCTAAATATCATTTTTCAGCTGCCTGGTTAGTTAAAGCTTAAAATGTAAATGAAAAATTAAAAATTCAAACCTCCCGCACGCATTCAAATTTTCCGCGACAAAGTGGCAGACATCCAGAAATTCCAAAGTTCAAATCTCCCGCAGATATTAAGGGTAAGAATTCGTTGAGAAAAAGAAAATAATTAAATTCTGGTGATTCTTAATATTTACACCACCCCATGTGGATTACAGATATAATTATTTTGAATAATCTATTAATTAAATTCTGTTGAACGCATTGAACATAAAATTATATTCAAAAGTTTAGGGTAAATGTTGCACCAGAAAAAAATATGAACTTGTACAAATAGATCAAAAATACGTACAATTCCAAGTAAGCAATTTCCTGTGACTCTTTACCTAAAATCCTCTTTAATTTTGATTTAAAGGCACATCTTCTGTATGCCTACTTTTTAATAGATCGTAATCTATCACAACTTGGTTTTAGTTATGCGTGGTTAAAAGTTGCATGTAATAGTATTGTAACGGAAACGCTCCAGACATGACGTCGCCTTTGGCGCTCTGGAATTTTCTACGCGCGCGATAGTGGGATATGTATAGGACTATTCCAGACTTATCCGGAAAATTACGCGAATGTTCTTGACTTACATTGCTTGCGTGTATAAATGGTTGCGGACCGAACATCGCAAGCAGTCTACTACCTAACGAGATCGAGTACGTAAGAAACATAGAGCGCGGAAATATTGCGAAGTGTGTGATATAAATAATCGATATAAATTGTACGGTTTTTTGTAGTGTTTAGTTTTGTTTAATAAATATTGATATAAATCGAACCCGAATTTATAAATCACGTTACAGTATAATATCACAAGATACTCATTACGAATTGATTGCATATTCAATTAATCAACTTCCGTCTTCATTAGAATTTTCCACATAACTGCTATCATCACTGCAGTTGAGTCAAATGGTCATTTGCTCCATTATTTCATCTAATTTACGTATCTTCTCTTATTTTTTGAAAAAGTGCGAAGTAGGTACCTACACTTTTGCCAGTGATCGCAGGGACGTTTTCTAGAGCAACAGAAGACGTTGCCCCATATCTTCTTTTATTTTATGTTTTATCTTTAGATGCCACCGCATAATACAATAATGTGGCATCTAAAAATAAAACATATGGAGCAACGTCTTCTGTTACTCTAGAAGTGCATTAAAAACAGAATAAAAGACAATGAAAGGAATTCATTTATGCCAACTACCTCCAGATAAAAACAAGCAATTAGAGTGGAGTAGTTCACTCATACCTACATAATGCTTGAAGAGTCAGACGGTCGACAATTGAAGGTTGCACTTACGTGGAATACGTTGAATTGAAGAGCTTTAAATAATAAAATTAGAGAAAATATGGAAAGTGGGTCCCAAAAAAAATCCGTCGATGGAGAGACAAAGTTGCAATTGCGAATATTGTCGAGAACCGGATATGGAAAGAAGGTACAACAGAAATGCGATGTGTATCCATTGAAAGGAAAGTAATGGATCTAGAATGTATCCTTGAGTGGCCAAAAGGTCGGAAAATGACACAACAAAGCAATAGATGCACAAACGCTGAGCGGGTAATTCTTGTCATTTGGTTCCATATGAAAAAATAAGTTGAACATCGAGTTAATAATGGGAATTAGGTACGAGTTAAATCTTTGAATTGTGACTTGGATTATATTATTTTGAAAAACGTATAAAAAGTTCGCAAATTCCTTTGACATGTAGGCTCGCATGTAGGTATACCTCCAAAAGGATATATGAGGACGTCACTATACTATCAAAGAGTATATAAGGTTGCTACTATATATACCTATGCGAGTTAATATAACCTTGCAGAAATTGTAAGAAACAATTGTGTATTCTATGGACATTTCGTGTGAGCGAGAGTTTTGCAATAAACAAAGTAATACATTATTATTTTGCAAAAGTTATAAAACATGCCTATCGTATGTACGGATAAACGCCTCTGTTCTGGAAATGTATATCGAAGATACAGTCATACATGGTTTTGTCGAGTGCATTCTCAACCGCTCAAATGTAGTTATTAAATTTATTCAATTATGTAGCCTATTGCTGATGAATTACACTATTTATATCTGGACTCGAGCACAAACTTTTTATTTTTTGACATGAAAGTGAGCAATAGGTCCAAAAGTGGAAGAATATCTTAACAAGCTGCAATTTACTGAAAGCTGAAAACCATCACATATTAAGACAGTGGCGACCACTTATCATAATCCGCCGTATTGAGGATAAAAAATTGTTTGATTATGCCAAATTGTGACCGTTTAATAGTAAATGTCAGTTTCATTTAAAGATTCCCCTTCAAAACTACGGCGCAGAAGTGATCGTTCAAAACTGTACAAAACAAGCTACGAAGAAACTACTGCCTCCCAAATTAATAAAAGATATGAGGAAACGGTATAATAAGGACAAAATAATATGGCGCAAGAACCAAAATGTACTTATAAAGGTACCTAACCACCATTGTGTTTGACATTTCAGTGTGTACTATCACATTTTGTCCGGCGTCGTGTTCGGAAGAAAAAGTGACACTTTAATCCCTTAACTGGAAGACAAAACACATTGATTTAGTCCAAGGAGTAGAAAAAAGCAATATTCCTTGTGATTCAGCAATAAATGTTAAAATTTATACCAATTCAATTGTATTTATGATCACAATTGAGCAGCATAATCATCTTTTCATAATTAATTTTTATTGACTTTAAAACACACCCAACTATATACAGGGTGAGTTTTTTTTCATTTTAAGCATTAGGATCTCGGAAACCGTAAGACATAGAGATTCGGTTAAAGGAGGAAAGAGTTGGAGTGTTAAGAACTTATTCAAGATATGCTTTTGTTTTTTTAAAAAAATCCACAGTTTGCTAGATATGAGCGAAAAACAGATTTAGTGATTTTCATTTAACTGTTGTAGAATCGTTAGTATTAGAAATACAGAAATATGCAAAGAACAAAAATTGTAGATTTTTTTCCGCTTAATAAGATACAATTATTAATATTTATTCTTCTTTTATAATTTTCGAGTTATAACGCAAACTTACATTTTTTTAAATGGTAATCATAGTTGGCTGTGACAAGGTTCATTGTACTTACTTTGACAAATAAACATGATATATAGACCGGGAGATGATGACACTTTTTGTGGTGTGATTTGCTACAAGTATGGCGACCATTCAAAGGTTTAATTAAGTACTCCTCGAAACGAAAATGGTGCTAACTCTCTGGGAGTGGGGCCGTTATTGCGTGACGATTGTTTAAACATGTCGGAAAATTTAATGATTTTGGACAATTTGCTACACAAAATTCTTTGGATTTTCTGGTAGTCGGTGACAAAACAAATGACGGAAACGAAATGCCATACTTTTCCGGTGGGCCTTTTAGCCCGCCATACTCATTTCAACGTGTCGATTGTTTTTGTTTTTTTTTGAGTGATTTGCTACAAGCTCATTTTTTTATGAGCATCAAGTCCTCAATCAGTCATACACGAAAATCAACCTGCCATACCGCAGCGACGGTCCCGCATAGCCGCCATACCGGCACAAAGATGTCATTTTTGTTAATAATTTTGGGCCATTTGCTACAGTATGGCATTTGGATTTTCTGAAAGTTCATACTCCACATTGATCCATGATATATGTGCCATACTCGTCATGAAGGCTAAAGATGGCGCCATACCCGAAATTCTGTTTTCTTAAAACATCTTTGTGCTATAACTGGGACAAGCAAGAAACCTTAAAAACGATTAAACGACCTTCTCGCGAGCTTCAGAAAAATGATTTTATTATTAAAAATTGGTAACACAATCCATTCAAAAGAATAATTGTTCTAAATTGATTAACTTATCCCGACAAGATATAATATCGTACTCGCGTTTAACAATTACTCGTCATCGGTATCTGATTCCTCAACATCGTCATGGGTCTCTTCTGTTTCGTTCCCATTGCCCTCGACACTACTCAAATCGATTTGATTTTCAGTCTCTTGGTCAATGCGATCCAGAATGATATATCCGACAGTAATGGGCATGTCGTCGCCGTCGAACCAATTAAATTCATAATTATCTGTGTGCGTTAACTTCCATCCGTAATATTCAGGACTATAATATATATATTATCAATAATATTATATATATTAATTCACCTTAACCTATTTTTAATTCATTACAATAAATAAAACTTAACATGCATATTCACTGCCTTATGTTCATTTGTACACAAATTTAGTCCACTCCTTCCTGTTCTGTGCCAAGGTTCTTCCTTCGTCCCATGTTACCCCCTTTTCTTGTAGGATTTCGCTCACCACCCCGTTCCATGTCTTTTCCGGTCTGCCCCTTTTCTTCTCTTTCTGCACTCTTATCTCCCAGATTTTTTTCACCGGGATATCTTCGCCGAGTCTCTGCAAGTGCCCCCACTATAATAATATATAAAATTATGTTGATGGGTATTTCAGATGCACAGTGCCAACTTTCTTAATTATGAAAGCATCTAAATGAAATTTGATACCTATATGCACTTAGAGGTGCAAAATTTGGTCTTGAACATGCTATAGCCATACCCAGGAGCTCGTTTGCTATATTTGTTTAAAAGTTTATTATTATTATTATTATTATGGTCGGTGTTTCTTGTGAGAACTCAGGTCTAGCCTGGTTAACTAATCGCACGGATTAAAAATCAAGTAACGATTAGTGTCTGTGTCTGTGTCTGGTGAAGTTATGTAGGGTCCTTAAAAAAAAAAAACAAATAAAATAAAAAAAAAATCACACACGTACATTGGACATCTAGGGATACTATGTAATTCGTACTTACCAACATACCTATTGATGGGCACAATAGCCAACGCTATCAGGAAAGAGGAAAACAAAACAAAACAAAAAAAATCATTATAATAATTCCAGTAATTTTATTAAATGGAGTTTATTGTGTAAGTGTTTCTTTGGCTTTGCGTTTGGGTTGAATACGAGTGGGTTGTGATAACGTGGTGTGCTTCTGTGAAGAAGGAGTTTTGTTTTTTAATTGTATTTATGGTGTTTCTTTGTTCCTGAGGTCGTATTTGTGAGGTTGCTTGGGTTTTTGGTGGAGATATTGCAGTATTTTGTGAGCCTGTGGTGCTGTTAAGGTTTTTGCGTTTCGGTTGTATACGAGTGGGTTGTTTCTGAGAAGGAGTATTGTGTTTTTTAACTGTGCTAGGGCGTGTAACTTTATTGGATGGACCTGTCTTTGTAGTACATGTTGCGTTACTTGTGTTTATGGTGTTTCTTTGTTTTTGTTTGTTGTTGTTGTTGTTATTATTATTATTATTATTATTATTAGTGTTATTTTAATTTGTATAATGATCAAATTTTCATCGTTTCTTAATTCGAAATAAACACAACTGCCCTGGAAATTTTATCAAGATTGATCAAAGTCACTGGGTGTTCAGATACTTATGGCGGATAGTATAAACTTGATGGCAGCTACTATCTACTACCTGCGATCCATTGAATGCAATGCAGAACACAACGACCCCGACCGGGACCTCTTCAACTTGACTAAGAAGTTCAAGTGGGGCGACATAACATCTCGTGATAAAACAAGATTGGCCTGGGATTCTAGTTTGAAACTTCATATTTACTTTTATTACACCTCAAACTGTCACGAAACATTGGTGCCATACTGTAGCAAATCGCCCAAATTTTCGGAAAATTCTTACATTTTTGAAAAAATATCATACCTAATTGGTCCATGCCACAGGTATGGCGTATCGAAATTTCTATTTCTGACTATAAAAATAACTGGTGGAAAAATTTATAGGGTGTAGAAAATCGTCCAAAATTATTAACAAAAATGACATCTTTGTGCCGGTATGGCGGGTATGCGGGCCCGTCGCTTCGGTATATCAGGTTGATTTTCGTGTATGACTGATTGAGGACTTGATGCTCATAAAAAAATGAGCTTGTAGCAAATCACTCAAAAAAAAATACAAACAATCGACACTTTCAAATGAGTATGGCGGGCTATAAGGCCCACCGGAAAAGTATGGCATTTCGTTTCCGTCATTTGTTTTGTCACCGACTACCAGAAAATCCAAAGAATTTTGTGTAGCAAATTGTCCAAAATCATTAAATTTTCCGACATGTTTAAACAATCGTCACTCAATAACGGCCCCACTCCCAGAGAGTTAGCACCATTTTCGTTTCGAGGAGTACTTAATTAAACCTTTGAATGGTCGCAATACTTGTAGCAAATCACACCACAAAAAGTGTCATCATCTCCCGGTCTAATAGAACTGTTTGTATCTCGGTTTATATTATTAAGAGTAGTAAAAACAGATTTATCCATGGGAAACATTTTTGTTCTCTTAATTACAGTCTATTATAATATTTAACGTGCAGTTAGTTGTGCGGCGGTGCACCTATGTGTTGAAACCAGCGTAAATTACGTCGTGTTTCCAAATCTAACCCATCCTACATATCTTGAAAGTCATTTGGTAGAAAATGAAGATAACATTGGCCTGTCCAATTTTCGTCGTAAAGGAAAGGTACCTATCGCACTAGATATTGTTTTCCATGGCCAACTCTATTTACTTACCTCTCAATAATACGAAAATTACTGCATGGCGTTTATTTATTACAGTACATTTAGCAAGCCTTATATCGTTATAAAGAGAAAAATTTGTCCTTTTTAAAAATGTCAAAGCCAACTATGACTACCATTTAAAAAAATTAAAGTTTGTATTATAACTGAAAAATTGTAAAATCTAAAAATAAATTAGTATGTTCATCATGTTAAGCATTAAAATGTCTAAAACTTTTATTCGTGTCGTTTTGTTGTAGGTATTTCTAATAATAACGATTCTACACCAGTTAAATGAAAAATCACTAAATCTGTTTTTCGCTCATATCTAGTGAACTGTGGATTTTTTTCAAAAAACAAAAGCATATCTTAAATAAGCTCTTAAAACGACAACTCTTTCCTCATTTAACCGAATCCGTATGTCTTATGGTTTCCGAGATCCCAATGCTTAAAATGAAAAAAAACTCACCCTGTATATCGCAATATGATGTATAGAACCGAATGTCCACAATATACAGCAGCACCTTTATTCACAGCATTTCGAAAGAACACAAAGAAAAGTGCGAGGAAAAGTGTAAACTCCTATACCAAAGTACGTCATTTTAGCCCCAATGTGGTGGCCGAGGTGGTGGCCGAAACCAACGACCAATCAACAACGAGATACCCGGTTGTCGCCACTGTTCTACATTGGGTCACTGTGTCAGGGTGATATTGTGATTGTCATTCTGTAAATCTACCACACATGGGAACATATTTGATAATTATTTTATATGCTACCTTAAATTGGAGTACACCCTAAAGGTAAAGCTTAAATTAAAAACCTAAAACATCTAAAACAATCAAATATAAGCTCTCGCTTGAGAAAAATTATTTTGTAAGTAGGTTCTTAATGCGCACTTCAGGAGTTGAAGGTGCAGGATAGAAAAACCAAAAGACACAGAAAGCCGAATTATTTTCAATAGTAGCACAAAAATCGGTTGTTCCAAATACCTCCACAACATTTGGGACCATAATAAATGTAATCATATTCATATATAATTCACATTTATTGCATGGCGATTTCGGGAAATAAATAATTTTCATTTCTACAAACCAAATTTTACTTCTTACAGAGTGCTACTAGCGTTGAGTGAAGGATTACTGAATGCTACTAGGAAATGATTAGGTGAAATTAATTTAAGGTTTCCTAACCATTTCATGACGCACATTTGATAGACCAAGTAGGTAATAATTTACATCTCAAATAAAAGCGGCTATTAACATCTCCCACAATGATTAACACGATTTTTAAAAAATAACTACCTAGACTAGACTATTATATATATAATATATACCAAAACGCTGCAAGGGCACAAAAGACAATTTTTTCTTGCGCGCCAATGATGACCTTAACCTTAATGCATAATTAGTTACTCACCTTGTACTAACCCTTATGTTTAGGTACCTATTTGAGTAGGTACCTATAACTATGTCGTCACACAATATGTTTTAAACTAAACAACAGTTAATTATAAAAATATTTTAGCGCAACTCTCGTATTTTTTCAACTCCTTTATGCAAAGCTAACGTAAATTAAAGATAATTTATATGCCGTGGAATATTTAGAAGTTCGCTAATTTATGTTATATCAAATAATTAAACTACCTATTTGTTTTTAAAAAATACTGCAAATTCATACACATACCTCTGTAGTACTGTCCACGAACCGCATCGGTCAGCAACAATAAGGTCGAAAGATATCCTGTTAAAGATATGATCATGGCGAAAAAGTAGAGTTTACTTAACGTCTTTAAGTAGCACTGCCGCAAAATTATTATTTACACACAGGAGAGCGCAACTGAGCATGAATGGTTTAGTCTTTCCATTATAAATTTATTTTACCATCGACGTGAATTATAAAATTATGTAATGGCAAGGTTACCTCCGAACTAGTAGGTATAAGTAAGCATTTAATACAAATGATTAAAAATGTACGTCTTAAATCACTCAACCTCTTCTTAATCATGGTAACGATTTTTTTTTAGTGTTAGTCACTATTAGCGTCAGTTCGCTAAAAGTTTAAGAAGGTGATGTATTATTTATGTAAACATATAAAGATGTAATTTATACTTAAGGTTAAGGATATGTCATTCCGTTAGCAGCTGAATGACCAACAAATTAAATATTATGGCCATCTCGACTGCATTCTACGAAAATTCATCTAGAAACGAGGACGTGAAATCACTTACATGTAGGTACCTATTAAAAATTTTTCTTTGACGTATGAAGTAGTTATCCCTGAAAACAAGACCCACTCCGCGCTTACTAAGCTCCCAATAATTCGAAGAGGAAAACCCCTTTTTCCATTACAGACGACGTCTAAACCGGATCATACTCGAGAATGATTAGAAGCTGAGGTGACCCATATCCTCAATCGCTATGTAAGGCGAAGTACTCATTTTTGTAGGTTAACTATAAAGTTCTCTATTCTCCGAATTCATCCTCTCCTGTATCGAACTTGGTAAGAAAATTGACCCAAAAATAATGATTTTGAGATCCAAGTTAAATTCCACCTCAACTTTTAAAATCAAGAAAATCAGAATCTTAAAATTTGCAGGATACCTTTATTAGAGCAGGGGTTCGCAACCAGAGACTCGCGAGCCGCATGCGGCTCTTTTGATACAAAGTTGCGGTTCTCCTGTTCCATTGGTAAAATTAATAATTTAAGCCCTAACATGAGCGTAATGAGATAAATTTGAACTTTTGTTTTGTTCTTACTTTCTTAGAAATGCGAGTTCATAACCATGTTTATCTCGCAGCCAAGTGCTGATTCCATTTCGGTCTTAGGTCTTACCCACCGTCTCTAGACGTGGTATGGATGCAGATGGAGCCAGAAGTATGACAGGAATACATGGAGGGGTGACATCAATTCTTCAGAGCAAAATAAACCACGAAATTCTAACGTTCCACTACATAATTCATCAAGGAGCGCTTTGTGCCCAAACATTTCCGGTCGAAATAGTTGAGGTTATGAACTTGGTAATTAAGATTATTAACAGCATCTTGGGAAAAGCACTCTACCACCGCCAGTTTAAAGATTTCCTTGAAGAAATAGATAGCCAGTTGTCTGACCTACTTCTGCACAATAAGGGGCGATGGTTTTCCAGAGGTAAAAGTATTGCAACGGTTTGCTTTGTGTTTCAGTGAACTAAAAATTTTCCTCAACTAAAAGTATTAACCATCCCGAATTAGAAGAAAACAAATGGCTGCAAAAATTCAACTTCATGGTAGATACCATAATAAAACTAAATGAACTAAATCTAAAACTGCAAGGAAAGGACAACCCGGCCAACGCCTTGCTTGAAGGAGTAGGTAGTTTGTTTCGAAAAAATTACTTCTTTTTATTGAAGACATGGAGAGCGGTAGGTAAATTACTTCATTTTAAACATCTGAAGCAATATCGCGACGATACCAATGCGATTGACACGAATTATTTCAGCATAGCTTTAAAAACATGAAGGATGGATTCGCTGAGAGATTTGAGCAATTCAAAATAAACAAAAGCACCCTCACCTTCATAGTAAATCCTCTCAACACAAATACAAATGAGATCAACATTGAGCCATTTGGAATTGATTCAGCATCACTTCAAATGCAATTGGTGGATTTGAAGACCAAAGACTTGCGGAGTGGCAAGTTCACAGAACTCAAAAGTAAGTTGGAAGATTTGGAGATCCAGAAATGCATGCACATTGCGTAACACAAGAAGACAACTCTAAAAGAAATTCCGCGAGTTGAGGTCCTTATATTCAACGCATGGAATAGTCTTCCAGAATGCTACAAGTGAGCTAAAGAAGTTGGCATATGGAGTACCGACGATCTTCGGGGACATATTCGTGCGAGCAAGCGTTCTCTTGCATGAATATAATAAAAAGTAAAGTTAGAAGTCAATTAACCAATAATAATTTAGAGTCGTGCTTGAAACTTAAAACAACAAGTTATACACTTAATCAAACTTTCAAAAGGCATGCAAAGCCAATGATCCCGTTGATAAGATATTTATGTGTTTATATGAATAAATTTTAAATCCGATTATTTTAAATTTATAGAAATATAATAATATATCCATTCAAACAATATTGAATCGAAAATGTTTAGTGGCTCTTTAAAAACTGGGAAATTTTGTAAATTGTAACTTTTGGCTCTTCCGTTTCATTATACGTTGCCGACCCCTGTGTTAGAGCATATAACATTCACAATTTTTTGGTATTACGGAAGATAAACTCTCTTCGTGTGGAATTCTGCAGCCACAGATTTAAACACTAAAACAAGATATGTGAAAATTACGAATCGTAACTCATTTATAGCACGTAGATTCTAAACTGAAGAGCTTTGATTAGAGTAATCCCGCTCCTGCAAGATAGGTAACCCGCCCCTGGTTTCGGGTTTTCGAGCCTACAGTTGAATGTCGATGGCAATCACGGAATTAGGTATCGTAACTCAATTTGATTACAGTTTTGACCACCCCCGTGACTGCTTCATTCACGGAAAAAATTGTTAGTTGCAAACAACAAGTCAGTACATACATCAAACGAATCGGTAATTTCCACATATTAAAATAAAATGATCCAAACTTATGAATTATTATTATATGAATGTTACTTCAGGGACAAGACCAAGTAATCAACATCAATAAACATAAATTAAGCAAACATTACACCAAAAACGTAAACGATTACAATCAAAAGGATAACGGTATTAAATATGTCATTTTACATTGCGGTTACACCAAGTAAATTTCAAAAACAAAGATTGAAACACACAAAAAATATAAAATGCGGCATACAATACACAAATACGATATAAAGAAATGCAAAAATTACTATCTGCATTAAATACGAAGATTGTTCAATAGAAACACGTTTAATCTATGCAGCCAGGACCTGGTCGTCATGGCAACAGAATTCATTTGTTTAGATTGTTTGCTTAAGTACTATTAAATAAAGCGTTTGTCAAAACTATTTGCAGTTTGCTATTTTCTATCCAACCAAAGATAACTTGCGTGCAGTTATTCAGTTTTTGGTCGCTGAAGGACGTCAGCCAATGGAAATATATAAGAGAATGAAAGCTGTATATGATGACTATAGTTATTCTCATACGACACCAGTGGCTGAGTGGTGCAATAAATTTCAACATTTCAACAATATCTGCTGCATGATAATGTCCGACCTCATGTAGCCCAGTGACTCAAGAACTGCTTAGTCGTATGAAGTGAGAAGTCTTACAACATCCGCCTTACAGTCCCGACCTGCCCCTTGCAATTATTATGTTTTTGGCCCATTACAGCAATCAATAAAAGGACGACGGTTCAAAACGGACGCTGAGGTTGAGTTTGCCGTTAAGGAATGGTTCCGCAAACAGCCGCAAGAATTTTACCAGCACGGAATTTACAGATTAGTAGGTACATACTCTTTGGTACAACCAAGATATATGTTTGGGTGGGATTCGTGCCTTAATAAGTATTCGTGCCTTAATGTTAATGCAGACTTCTTTTAAAACGTTGAATAAAAAATGTTGTATATCCTCTAAACGTGTTTCTATTGAACAATCCTCGTAACAAAATAACAACAAACATTTATGGAGCGACGCGTTCACTACCGCCATTGAAGACAAGTTGCCGAACGTAACCAGCGTTCGTGTTCTCCAGATGGCGCAAATCCTTAGACCATATAGTACATCTTAGACCAGTACATGGACTGCTGCTTTCAATACAAAATGGGTGGTCACGGATAGAGGGCACTGTAGTCGTGGGTATGTCCGTAGCCTACCGATAGATCTAGCCGTGACATTGCTTTAGTGACGTCACAACTGGAGATGGGCCACTGCAACGTGATACTCATACTATGTGTTTAAATGCAATTTGATTTGCGCGCGTACTCATTTAATGCCAAAACATTTAGTAATTACTTGTTTTGAGCCGCAGAATTATCTTCTTTTTTATCATAAAACAGGCTATGTTTCCCCCAAATTTCAAACCCTTACGACATTTTTTCGCAAAAATAAGAATAAAAAACAAAAAAAACAGTTTTTTCGGTTTTCCTAGGAAAAATGGAGGTTACGTGAAAATAGTGCAGATACAAAAGTTGCTCATTTTTTTAATCTCTATAACTTTTACATTTAACATTTTCGTCTAAAATTAATAGTTTTGCCAGAATTTGCAAAACACCACTTCCCACCCCTTTCAACCCCCGTGATTTCACCCGCGGAAAAATTCAGCTGTTTTAATTATTTTTTCCCAATTTCTATTCATTTCACCTGCCTGAAAAAACCCGTTTCGCCCGGTAACTAATTTTTTTTGTCAAAAAATATTATACAGGGTGGTGCCTAGCGCAATGCAGCAAAGGGATTTCAATGGTAATTTCTTTATGGTCAATTATTAGCTCCCCTAATTATTTTAGAGCAAAAGTTTTTTTGAGAGAAAAAAATACTGCATCTGTTCATACTTTTAGTTATAATTTTCCATTTTTCAAAACCGTAGAAATCGACAAAATAAAAAATTACATTTTTATAAATCAGTGATGCTTTGGCAAACTACAAGCGCATCGCATCTATAAAAAAATAAGTTATCGTTGTTTGACGTCGAACGATTTTCATATTTAATTCTGTTTCAACTAACCGACGCAATAAAAGGCATCTTAGGGTAATGTTTTTTTAGAGAATGTATCTGCAACAGATACTATTTGTTTATCATTTTCCGGAATCAGAGTACCTACATAATCGAAGAAAAAAAACTGATTTGAAGATTTGTTCCAAAACTTCTATTCGGATTTTCCGCTACTGCAGCCAAAACGTTGAATGTGTTGTCGTTTTCCTGATTGTTTTGACGGACATTTTGAACGTTACTGTACCTGCAGTTCTTTAACTAATTTATAAACAAGTATAAAGTTAATAAACGTCAAAGGCAAATAATGAAACGTGATCGCTGTTTCTTTAGGTAATTCCAAGGCATATCTGATTTATTGTAAAATGAACCTTTTTATTTTGTCGATTTCTACGGTTTTGAAAAACGGAAAATTATAAGTAATAGTATGAACAGATGCAGTATTTTTTTCTCTAAAAAAAAACGTATTTAGACTTTTGCTCTAAAATAATTAGGGGAGCTAGTAATTGACTATAAAGAAATTGCCATTGAAATCCCTATGCTGCGTCGCGCTAGGCACCACCCGGTATAGCTTGGACCATTGAAGAAGTATAACGCCCGTGTTAACTGATGAAATAAGAAAATCTGCCCAGGATTCTGTCGTCCCTCTGTTGTGGGGGAAAGTGAACCACAAATTTAAAGCTAGTTACCGACTTTGCAGATTTCTTTACTTCTTTAAAATTCCAACGTTGCCAGATTTTTGCCAAGCGCTTTGAGTTTGAATTATAGATTAAAATATTGAATAAGCTTTTATTCAATGCAATAACGATATTATGTAAGAGAGGATCAATCTGAAATGTAAGATCATAAGCAACAATAAATACAGTAAAAAATGTAACTTAAATTAATCAGAAAACAACAAGAACTGTTCTAAGGACCGTTATCTTTACATAATAAACAATCAAACTTTACCTAGCTCCATTAAAGGATCTGGTAAATATGACACCACAGTTCAACTCTGATAAACAAGGAAAACAAAGGGCCCCTAAGTATAACTGGTTTTCCTGTTTAAAATAGTTATTATTTACCGCCCGAGGCCAAATATCCTTCAATATTTGTGGTACTTAACCACTTTGCAGTGTATGCAACACACCTTACACCAATTTCAGGTTTCCTATGTAGTTATACTTCTTTAAAGTGCTTATTCAATGCTTCAACTAATAACTGACCAGCGCAAAGGAAGTGATATGATGACGACTTCCGTCGCGTGTTATGCTATTTTCCTCCGCTGTTATATTCTCTCCTCTTATTTTTACTCGTAGGTAACGCGAATAGCAGCCATTTTGGATCAGTTTGGGAACCGCGAAATTTGAAATTAAACAACAGTTGGAAAGTATGTATAAAGTATGTATTTTGTATTCGCTCTTGGATTGTGCGAATACTTCAATAGGGCAAGTTTTGTGAGCGTATCGTTTAATAGCCTTTAACATCACAAGAAAAATATAATTGCATCGCTTTTTCAATCGTTTCACCACTCCACATAAAACCCTTATGTGTACCCAACTCTAAATATTTTAATTGATCTTCATTCAAACTTTTCGAAAAATTGTCTTCACTTTTGAGTAATTTCTTTTTTCGTTTTCTGTTTTCTTGCAAAAGTGCCTAGATGCGCTTCTCTAATGAATTAATGGTTACATCAGTACTCTCCTGAATGTATAAAGACAACTAACGGGCGATCAAAGATGAGTTGCTGTCGAGTCGACTTTGGAAGTTCAATTTCCCATGTAAACAAAAATTCCAAAGGTGACTCGACAGTAACTCATTTTTGATCGCATGGTATTATAATGCAACACAACAAATGTCAAACATGACACTAGGTGTCAAACGGCCATTTTGGCTCAATTAGCAGTTAGTTTTTGTCTAATACTAATGAATCGCGTTACTTTAGTAACCTAGGGACTTTACCTCCTCCTAACATTTGCGTGGTTACCAACTCTCAAAAATGTGTGCCTCGTCCACGAACTTATAAATTAAGATGGACTACTAATGATGAATTAACAAATGACACCTATATTGAGCCGGGCCCCCTTGATGTGCACTCACATGGCGCGAAATTTAAATCAACTAATAAACAAGCTGTGACACATGTCATTTTCCAAGGCTGCAATAGTCTAAAAACTTGAGCACTAGAAAAATTCCCCTAGAAAATAACTAAAACGTGCACATCATGGCCGCGCCCATGCTAGGGCCATTTCTAACTCTATGCAACTGTTTGATCAGCAATCCATCTTAATTTATAAGTTCGTGGCCTCGTCGTAAGTTGTATAATGTATATACAGGGTGGAACTCAAATTTCAAATGCGGTTTTTTAGTAATAAA